GGGACACGCAGCAGGCACACGCAGACGCTCTCTGCACGCATGCAGGCTGACACCATCCCCTTCCGTCCGGCTGTCCATCCAGCTCGTCCTCTCGTCCCCCCCCGCCCCCGCCCCGCCCCGGGTCATGCCATGAGGTTCCTCATCCTGGGCCGTTCTTTCGGGCTTGGGGAGCACCGCGTGTCCACACGGCCGTGGGGCCAGTTGCACCCACGTGGGGTCCTCAGTATCTCCACTGGTAGCAGGGCGGCAGGTCCGGATGCCCGACAGGACTGAGGGGCCACGGGAGCCAGGACTCTTCCTATGTTCCTTGTCCTCGAGGTCTCATGCCCTGAGCTAGCTGCCGTGAGGCAGAGTCCCCTCTGCTCCCACCCAGCTCTGCTTGGTCACTCACTAGTCTGCCGGTGGCCTCGGTGTGTCCTGCGGCCTAACCACCAGCCTTGGGCTCCATGCCCTCACCCCCACCCCAGTCATGGCCACAGACACCAGATGGGCGAGTCTGCGCCTCCCGTGCTGGAACCACTAGAACAGGGAAGGCCAAGGGGCAGCACCCTCGGGGAGCCTAGGGGACAGCTGGCTGAAGGCCACCAGCCTCGCTCTGGCCACTGCCTGGCTGGAGGGCGTGGGTGGGTGCTTGACCAGCGGAGGGTGTCAGCGTGGCCGGAGGCCTCACTCTCTGCCTCCTTCCCTTCCAGTTTGACAAGTACACGCCCAAGCTGGACAGTCCCTACTTCCGACATTCCAACGTGAGTGTCCCTGCACGCTCTGGGCTCTCCAGGCAGGGTGAGGGGTGTGGAGGGCGGCGGGGCTGTGCCGTGTCCATGTAGCCTCCCACCCAGTGCAGGGGTGATGGGGTGGGGACCAGAGGGCTGGGCCCGGCGTCCCTGCCCTGGGCGTCCAAGTGTCCGGCCCCTGGAATGCCCCTCCCGCCTTCTCTTGCAGTTTTTCCCGCCTTTCCCTCCAGCCGTCCCAGGACTGCCCGCCCTGCTCCCACACCCAGGTCCCTTTGGATCCCTGCAGGGTGCTTTTCAGCCCAAGGTACCAGCTGCTCCCAGGAGGGGGGTGGGCACTGTGGGTGGGGTCTGCAGGACCGCACCGCTCCCAGCCAGCCCTCGCAGTCCCGGGGCAGCTCCAGCCGCCTGGCACGTGGTTGTGTGTGTCGTGATCCCGGGTGGCCCCCAAGGGGTGTTCACCTCAGTGCAGAACATCCTCACCCTTGGTGGGGCCCTCTGTGCCCCATGGGGCCGGGAGAGCCTGGCTTCGCTCGTTCTCACCTCTCCCGCTGGCAGCGCTCAGGGTTGGGGTCTGGATGGCGGCAGCACAGGGCCATCCTCGCTGCAGGAGGCCCAGGCAGGAAGCACCCCCTGACGCCCCAGGACCAGGGACTGTGCTTGCTGTGCTCACCTTGCCTGAAGCGGGGCTGCCTTGGCCCTTGGGGAAGCCCCTGGCCCAGGCACGTCGATCAAGAGCCTTTTCTGAAATCTCCGGACCGGATACGGTGGGAGGCCAGGCTGCCCCTGGGTGGCGCCTGGGGGCTCTCATGCCTCCCGGGCATGGGGCCTGCAAAGTCATCTCGTGCCCTGTCCGTCTCTCCCCTCAGACTTCAAACCCACTCGAGCTAACAGGCCAGGCCAGTGCTGTTAACACCCTCCTACAGAAAGCCCCCGGGGTAGGTGGCAGCGGTGCCCGTGCCTCCTTTCTTCTCTGGTGGGCATTCCCACCGGCGTGGCTCCTCGTGGAGGCCCACATAGTCCTCTCCCCCCGCCCCCGCGGGGCTGGGCTGCTTGCAGAGCCTGGGTCTAATGCTTCTTTCTCTGTCGATGGCAGGTGTCAGACCCATACCGGACAGCAGTCAGGGTGAGTGTGTGTGTGCTTGCTTGCCTCACCTTGGGAGGAAGGGGTCTGGCGGGACCTCAAGGAAGGTCCGAGGCCAGGGAGGACTCTGGGTGCCTCTTGAGTGGCCACAGGGGTGCACTGTGACAGCAGGAATCTGGGGGGGGGGGGAGCAAGGAGGTCCTGGCCTCAGAGCTGAGCCCGTCGCCCGCCCTGTCGCAGAAGCCCGGGAAGTAGGAATCTGGGGTGGGGGGGAGCAAGGAGGTCCTGGCCTCAGAGCTGAGCCCGTCGCCCGCCCTGTCGCAGAAGCCCGGGAAGTGGTGTGCTGTGCATGTGCAGATCGCCTGGCAGATCTACCACCATCAGCAGAAGATAAAGGTGAGCCTGACTGCTCATCCTGCCGGCCAGGCCTGCAGTGCAGAGGGTGCCCCTTGCCCAGGCGCTGTGCTGGGCTGGGAGGGGTTGGAGGTGGGGAGGGCACAGGACAGCAGTGTGTGGGGAACTCAAGGCCACTTCCCACCCAGCCACCCAGGGTGACGCCGGCAGGGGTTTGGGAGGAGCTGGCGCTGCGGGCCTCCCCGCCATCAGTTGTGTCCTCCCAGCGGGCCGTCGGCCCTGTCCCCCTCTTCCCCGCGGGTGTCTGTTAGCACTTGGGCCCGCTGTGTGCCTGGGTTTTTAGCCAGGGGCAAAGATGACCAAAAGCGCTCGCGGAGCCTTCGTGCTCCTGCGGGGGGTGACAGGTGGTGAACAGGAACCCAGCTCGAGGCCGTCCCCCTCCCGGCAGGTGGTGCCAGGCACCCTGGCCAAGCGACGCAGGGAAGTGGGAGACCTGGGGACCCACAGCTGGGGCAATGGGCCGGGGCGCTGAGGGGGCCGGGACAGGACCCTGCCCTCGTATCGCAGAAGGGTCTCCGTGCTCTCGTCTGCCGTCTCAGATAACACGTTACCCCGCGCACAATACTTTTAACTTATCACGTCCTAAATATGCTACAAAGGACCAGTCACAGAAAGGGATTAATGACAGATTATTGTGCGATTCAACATGCAGATGCTCAGACAGAGCCACCTAGAAGGCACAGTGAAGGAGGTGGGGCAGGGTCCCCAGCTAGGGCCCAAGCACCCGCTCTGTCGCTGCCATCTCGGCAGATAGAACTCACCTAGCCCCGTGCCTCCTGCGGCCCTTGCGACCCAGGGGCGGGCTTCGTAGTTTTGTTTAACTTCAATAAATTTGAATCTTAACGCTGAGGCTAAATCAGTCATCGGGAAACTGGAACGACTTGGGTTTGGGAATGTACGTCTCCAGCTCAATTTTACAAAATCTAAACAGACAAAGTATCTCCAGTGAAAATGTAGCATCCAAATTGAGATGTGTTTTAAGTGTAAAACACACCAGCGTTCAAAAAGCGTATGAAAAGGAGTGAAACACCTCAATCAGGACCTTCCTGTGTCAGTCACCCATGGCGTTCGGTTATCCTGCATCTGCTGAAACGTCGTCAGGATGAATCTTAGCCTGTCTCCGCCCGCTGGGCAAGGCCAGTGGAGCAGGTGGCACCCCACCTTTCTGGCAGCCCACTGGCGGCCCCTGCGCACGCTCT